ATTTTTTATTCATTAGTTATTTGGTTTTTATTCAGCCAGGATGGTCTCAATCTCCTGACCTCGTGATCCACCTGCCTCGGCCTCCCAAAGTGCTGGGATTACAGGCGTGAGCCACCGTGCCTGGCCTGAAAGAATAAATTTTTTAAAAATACAAATTTGATGCATAATTCAAGGCAGAAAAAAAGACCAGATGTATGGTTTGTAGCAAGAATATTTTCCAATGGAATATTATTTATAGTTTTGATCATTGCTAATCAGAATCTAGAATCTTATTAATTTATTTTTATTTTTCAGACAGGGTTTCACTTCCATCACCCAGGCTAGAGTGCAATGGTATAATCTCAGCTCACTGCAACCTCTGCCTCCCAGGCTCAAGTGATTCTCCTACCTCAACCTCCCAAGTAGCTGGGACTGCAGGTGCATGACATCACACCTGGCTAATTTTTGTATTTTTAGTAGAGATGGGTTTCACCATGTTGGCAAGGCTGGTCTCGAACTCCTGACCTCAGGTGATCTGCCCACCTCAACCTCCCAAGGTGCTGGGATTATAGGCGTGAACCACCACAGCTAGCCTTAATCTTCAATCTATTTTGAATGTAACATTTTTCATTAATTACGGAAGATTCCCAATTCAATTTATCTTTCCTTTAGAACTCATGCCATACTAATTGGAGGCACCAGCTCCTTTAACACTTACTATTTATTGTCTGGATGGGCCTGGATGGGCCTGGATGGGCCTGCAGGGTATGCAGTAGAAAGAGCCTTGCTTAGGACACAGGAGAGCTAGTTCTTAGGGTCTGTTTTGCCAATCAGGTATGTAAACTCGGCCACATGATATAAGCTCTGAAGGACTTGTTTTCCCCATTTTGTAAACATAAAAAAGGAAAAGAAAAGCAGGGGCAGAGAGGTTGGATTGGATGATTTCTATGGTCTGTTCCTGTTCAAAACTTCTCTGTTTTTTATATCTACTTTCCATATAAACGAGATTGGGAAATATTATTCAGCCATAAAAAGAAAGGAAATTCTGATACATGCTACAACATGGATGAACCTTGAAGACATTATGGTACGTGAATAAGCCAGACTGAAAAGGACAAATACTCTATGATTCCACTTATATGAAGTACTCAGAATGTCAAATTCGTAGAGCCAGAAAGTAGGATAGTGGTTACCAGGGCTGGGAAGAGAGGGTAGAGTCATTTTAATGGGTGTAGAGTTTTTGTTTGGGATGATGAAAAAGTTCTGGATGTGAACAGTGCTGATAGTTGCATAACAATGTGAATGTACTTAATGCCACTGAGTTGTAATTTGAAAATGGTTAAAATGGTAAATTTGATATTAGATATCTTTTACCACAATTTTTTTTAAAGAAAAATTATAGGTTCAAAGAAATGCACATTTCAAAAGCTTTTAATGTTTATCATCTACATAATAAGGGCATAATAAATATTCGTTGACTTATATTTTTAAAAAACAAGTTGGGGTAGTGGTAGGAAAATTAGGTTTAAAGAAGGGCACTAGGCTATTTGTCTTTGATTTCATACAGCAACCACACTGGCGTTTTGTTTTGTTTTGTTTTTGAGATGGAGTCTGCCTATAATCCCAACTACTCAGGAGGCTGAGGCAGGAGAATCGTGTGAGCCTGGGAGGCGGAGGTTGCAGTGAACCAAGATCACACCACTGCACTCCTGCGTGACAAAGTGAACTCTGTCTCAAAAAAAAAAAAAGTTTGATAGTGACCTTATTTTTAGACTCCCTTTTCCATAGTTGGAAGTATTTTCACCAAGGAGAAATTTTGTTCAGTTAGATATTTTTTCTATCTGCTGTGTTCCAACTACAGTATATGCTTAAGTTTTTGTATGCTAAGAGATGTTTCTAGAACCCTGGTGTCACAAATGAAACCTGAAATCAGATAGTATATAAATAGAAGCAGATTCAGTGTAACTATCCTAACTATCAGAAAGAATAATTTTTTTTTTCTTTTTTGAGATGGGGTCTTGCTCTGTCCCCAGGCTGGAGTGCTGTGGCGCAGTCTTGGCTCATTGCAAGCTCTGGTTCCCGGGTTCACACCATTCTCCTGCCTCAGCCTCCCAAGAAGCTGGGACTACAGGCACCCACCACCACGCCCGGCTAATTTT